AAAATCTCAAAATCGAGTTTTTGCCCGGACACTGTCTTAATATAGTCTTGCGGTGCCGAGAGAATGTAAAATCTCTGCGTGATTGATAGTGCCAGTAATGCCGACATTTTCGCGCGCAAGTGGCCGGCATCGAAGCATATTTGCTTATTTGTTCACGCGCAAACGTTGCAGCAAAATTCCGGCACCGCAAACACACTACATTGAGCTGTAAATCTAATCGACTGCAGTAAAGGGCTAGGGACTCAGAAAAAATTGCCCATATTTAGAACGGAGCCTGACTATTATAAACAAGTAAAATCTCCCATTGATCTGACAAGAATCCAGCAGAAGGTGAAGACTGAGGAGTATCGCTCGTTTGAGGAATTTTGCGGAGATGTGGAGCTTTTGATAGAAAATACGCGGACTTACTACAAGGTCTTTGTTTTCGATCGCTTATTTTATGTTTTTTAATTTCTTGTTTTTCTAGGAGGAAACTGAAGAGCACAAAGCGGCCACAGAACTCTTTGAGCTCTACAAAGTTGTTAAGGATAAAGTTGTCAAAGGTGAACCAATTGAGGAGCCAAAGACAGACGATCATCCGTCGAGCTCGGGTAGTCCTACACCTTCTACTTCGATAAGGTATTTCGTGCTCGTTTTGATCTTTTCGGTTTTTTCAAGGTTGAATTTTACCTTTTTTCCTGCAAATTAGCTCAAAAATACGTTTGAGATCGATCTCACCCGCTCCCTCTCGAGCTTCATCAACTGGTGTCGGGGAAGAAGTAGATTCGGATATGGTCGAAGACATTCTTTGTGGCCTTCTTGAGCTGACCGACTCTACCGGACGCCTCATTTGTCCTCCGTTTAGAGTCCTGCAGAGTAAAGAGGTCAGCACAAACTTCCATCTTTGTAATTTTATTTATTGTCTTCATTTTTCAAGGAGTTTCCTGTCTATTACGAAAAGATTCGTCATCCGATGGATCTAAAAACGATCGCTGAGAAAGCGAGAAGTGGGGCATATAAACGAATGTCTCAAGTGGAGGCCGACGTTCGGTTGTTGTGTCGGAATGCGCAGGTATCCTTATTTGGGAGAGATTTATATTGGGGAAAACTGTTTATTACTAATTTTTTTGAACTTTGCAGCAGTTCAGTGGGAAAGGCAGTGAAATTTACAAGGATGCCGTTGCTTTGATAAATTACTTCAAGGAAAAAAAGGAGCAAGTGTTGGAGAAGGGCGTGCATCCTAAACGGTTTGTACTGTCTTAACAGATGTTTTATTATTGTGATCATTTTAATTAATTCTCCATATGAATTATCGTTTATAGTCGAGACAAAATACATCGCGCTGTCGACCAGCTCCTCCAGCAGGTCGCCCTTCCAACCAATGCTGAGCTTTCTGAAGACTCTGAAGAGGATGAGGACACGGAAGAGAGCGATGTGCGTATGATTCCTTATTTTTTGTATGATGATAAAAATTTGGTGAATGTTTGATAAGTTTAGGATCCTCTCTGGAAGCTTTACTGGACGATTCGTAATGCTCCAAATGAGAAAGATCGTGAAACAAATTTATCTGATCCATTTCTTGAACTGCCCAGTCGGAGGTAACGCACCATTCATTCCATAAATTTACCAATTTTCACTTTTTCCTTAAAGGCAGTGGACAGACAAACGGAGCCTTAGATTTTGGTGGAATTGGATAATAGACCTCCCAAGTACACCGTAGACCAAAACCTACTTGCCAATTCATGCGCTAAGTCCTGAAATGCGCGTCAAAGCTCCACCAATGACGCCCACTCAGTGGAAATGGGCGGGGCTAGTGGAGTTTTGAAGCGCATTTTTCA